GAGACACTGGCAACGTGGAGGAGAGTGTTTCAGTCCATTACATAGAAAGCTGTGAGTTGCCGAGTTCCCCAGGTCACCCTTTCATGTTCCCAGCAGTAAGAAGATGGGCTACAGAAAGCCAATTACAAGCAACCTTTCCGGCTGCAGAGGAAAATTCAAGGCTAAATGCACATTTGCTGCCACTTTCCTAATGGGGCCTAATCACACAGGCGGCTAATGCTTCTCAGGGAAGGGGGGTTAATGCTGGTTCCTGAAATGTACAGCTTGGATTAAATCCTCTTTGCACCCAGCATTGGGGATCCCCTCCCCCCCAACACACACACAGCCGCACAGAGAAAGAGACCCACACCCCTTCCCTCCTCTTTGCCATTCAGATTATTTCCCCTGAAAATCTGATCAGAGACATAGGCCCAGGGCTGGTTTATTATTCACCAGGAGAGGTTCTTGCTGGGTGCAGTGAGATGCAGGGGACCCGATTCTCCTCTCACTCACCCCAAAGGGGTGACACCAGTTCCACACCCGTGTAAGAGGCCCAGGGAGGCCAGCTGCTTGGGAGGGCACAGTGCATTGGGTCAGAGCGGTACAGGAAAACCAAGTAAGAATTCTTCCACTCCCAGTCCTTTGCTAGAGCAAGTGAAGCACAAACGCCTCCATCCCAGAGCACCCAACAGCCCCTGTAAAAGCTGCAGGAGCATCCCAGTATCCCAGAGCATGCTGGGGCACCGGCCCAGTGCCTGAACTGGCCAGCCTGCCTCTTGGCTACAGAGTGAACACTGTGGGCCCAGCTCTGACCACACACTGGTTTTACCCCCTCGCTCCATTAACAATGTCATTGACACTGGCATGACTGAGAGGAGCATCAGGCTCCTCGTCTCTCAATGTCCATGAAGCCAAGCAGGCAGGGGGTTTTCCAAAGAGGAAACTCATCAGTGGGTCACTCACTGCACACAATACACGCCCCTGCTGGGGGCAGCACACAGGGGTGTACCAGCAAAGGGGAGCTGGGTGCCACACCCAGGAACCCGCTCTCTGCTCTCTCCCCACACAGCCAGACCGGCGCGGCCCGTTTGTGCACTCAGCCTGAGATCCCAGAGGGCTGGGTGGTATACAAACCCTGCAACATTTTCCACTCTCAGGCTGTTTTGTTTTTAGTGCATGTTTGTGGTTAAGAGCAAGGGGCCAGGATAATACAGACTGCAATTCCTCCAGTTTTCAGCCCAGTGTGTCCTGCCAGTGACCTCAAGCCTGGCCTGGGCCTCTCCTCCAGAGGACAGCGTGGTCCAGTGGACAGGGCGTCAGCAGACCTGAGCTCTCAGCTCAGCTCCTCTAGGCAGGTCACTCCCCTGCCCTGGCTAATGGTGCTGACCGGGCTCTTGGGATGCGAGGTGCTACCTAAGAGCCGGGTATTGGTATTACAGGGGCATGTCACACTACAGCCTTGGTAGGTATTTTGCCCTTGTGGCTTAATGCTGCTGTTCGCCTCTTCTTGCTGGCTGGCTCGATCTAGGAATGGGTCAGGGTGAGTCACTTCCTCTGCCGCACCAGGAGGTGACACATTTCCGGTCAGAGGCACCACCCCAGCCCATGCGGATGCTGTGAAGTGTAAGGTGTCAGACACTAGCCAGGTAAATGCTTTGTTTCCTCCCCCTTGTCTGGCTAGACTGCGGGAGGGCAGGGACTGTCTCCGAGGCCTTGTCTTCACACCGGTGCACCGTTTTCATTCGCGCTTTAGATATGGACTTAAATTGGCGTCACTTGTGTTTCCAGACCAAGGCCTTGTCCTGTTTCTGTACAGAGCCTAGCACAACCGGCTCCAATCCCAGCTGCGCTTTCCGGGCACTTGGGGCAGGAACAGATCATGGCCATGTCGTCCGGCTGAGGGTTCAGAAATCATGAGTCAGGACTTAGCCTGGGGGATAGTAAAAAGTATCGGGGGGGGGGGAGGGGTGTTTCTATTCACTTTGTGCTTTCTGAGCGTTTGGGGTCCTATTTTTTGCAAACAGGAGTGCGAGAGCTGGCTCTGCCCTCGCCGATGACAGGACACTGGGCTAGATAGGCCATTGGTCTGGCCCAGTCTGGCTGTCCTTAGGAGGGCATGGAGGGAAGCTTGGAGACTGACTCCTGGTAGGTGTAACAGTCAACTAGCCAAGGAACAGAATCCAACGCTGATTATTTGTAGAAATCTCATGGTTTCTGGGGCCCGACCAGTGCTTTTGGAACACTTAGCATTGTTAACGCTGGGTTCTGCCATGTAGCACTCTCTCACTTAGCATTGTTAACGCTGGGTTCTGCCATGTAGCACTCTCTCACTTAGCATTGTTAACGCTG